GGCCGCCTCTATTTTAAACCCACGAGCTGCCACTGATGGAAATACACATTATATTACATACATACATATATGTAATATTTAATGTGTTTAATGTAAAAAGAAAAAAAAAATCATAAAGGCCTATTTTTTAAAACTTTTTAAATGTATGCATCACCTTTCATGTCAAATTATTATAATTTATTAATAAATTCTATAGGGCTGTTACCAGTCAGATTAAATCATTTACACTGCAAAATTACAACTGCAAAAAATAATGTTATGAAATTAATGTTTTTAAAACAATTATGAATATACAAATAAGAAATGTTGGGGGAAAAAAATGCATACTTTTCAACATACTAAATCACCAGCAGGTGGCGGTAAGTCACTTAATGAGTGAGTCATTGAGTCATTGATTCAACCGATTCGTTCAAACGCTGAATCGTTCAGTAACTAAACACCGCCGAGTGTTTGGAGAATGTGAGATACTTCTGCTGTGATCCTTGTTTGGAACTATTTATATATTTATACCACTTCATATAGTTAATCAATTTCACACGAAGAGTGCTGTTTTTTCTCCAAAAATGACCATGATTACAAATGTGATATTGATTTTTTACAACAGTTCAAATTACAAGAAGTTAATTAAGAGACTTATGTTTTAGACACCATATTTCCTGTTTTTGCTCTATTTCTACAACAAAAATAATCCCAAACACAGTCACAGCACTGTTTTGTGTCTCTGAGCAACATGACGGTGATTCGTTCCTGAATGAATCAAGCGTTTAAATGATTCGTTTGAATGAATCACTTATTAACAGTGACGTGCTGTCACTTGCTGGTGGATTTAATTTCACATTGAAAGTATCTTTTTATTATTTAACTAATTTCAAATATCAGTATTCAACGTTTTATGTTTAATATATCAAAACAGTATTTATGCATGTGTAACCGCAGGTTAAATGCATTCATGTCCTGCACTAAACGGTGTGTAAACACATCTAAATATCACTTCAGACGCAGCTTCTGTGTTTCCTCTGCGCTGCAAAGATGCATTTTATTGATGCTGATTTAATTTTTTTGCACCCTCAGATTCCAGATTTTCAAATAGTTGTATCTCAGCCAAAAATATTGTCCTATCCTAACAAACCATACATCAATGGAAAGCTTATTTATTCAGCTTTCAGATGATGTAGAAATCTCACTTTCGAGAAATTGACCCTTATGACTGGTTTAGTGCTCCAGGGTCACACATGAGGTTTATCAAGCGATCTCTTCAGAAGGCTTACATTAAACCGCTGGATTCATACGAATCACTTTTATGATGTCTTTATGTACTTTCTGAAGCTTGAATATGTTGATTATGTAGACTTTCAAAGAATGGACAAAAACGATGGTTGATCATAACAAGTTTGTGTTCCAAATGAAAGTCTGAGCGAGTCATTGATGACTGAATGGACTAACACTTTCATCTGAAGCTAGTTCTGGTTAGCAGCAGAGTGTCCGTGTCTCTCACCGGTGAGGTCGGTGCCCTCGGGGAACAGCAGCAGCTGCAGCGGCTCCTTGATGTGGCAGAAGTACTGCAGCATGTTGGCCATGTGAGCGCGGTCTTCCTCCCAGCGCCGCCGGATGAAGATGAAGCAGGCCACCTGCATGGCCCAGCCTGCGCACACACACAGGGACGCCGTCACGCTCGCTCCGGGGCTGCTTCATTGGTAATGACTGTGTGGACTCACCGAAGCCGGGCACAGCCTTGAGCGCCGCTTTGAGGCAGATCTTCTCCAGACGCAGGTAGCTGTAGCGCAGCAGACAGCACCACAGGAACATCCAGTCCAGACGCGTGCGGTGGTTCATGATGATGACGCTGCGCTCGCCGGGAACGAAGCCGTCGCCCGTGATCACCACCTTCACCCCGAACACCAGCTCCAGCAGCGCCTGCACACACACACACACACACACACACACACTAGCAACGCACAAATAACACATGCATTATCAACAACACAACACTTAAAAGGTTAGTTCACCCAAAAATGAAAATTCTGATGTCCTTGCTTCTGTGTCTGGGAACATTGCAGTTGTGTTGCTGTCTATGAAGGGTCAGAGAGCTCTCGGATTCCATCAAAAATATCTTAATTTGTGTTCCGAAGATGAGCGAAGGTCTTGCGGGTTTGGAACGACATGAGGGTGAGTAATTAATGACTGAATTTTCATTTTTGGGTGTACTAACCCTTTAATAAAAAGATGAAATATTTTATTTGTTTAGCTGCATGTCGTGTGATCAGTAATGAGTAACAGGTGAAAGTGTTGTTAAATAATTGAAATATTAATCTCAGGTGGACTTGTTTGTTTGTTTATAGTTTAGCCAGCTACCACAGCTATATTCTTGATGAGAAACAAGAGGAATTAGAAAAAAAAGTAAACATATAAATGATTAAACTACACTGTCGTTCAAAATTTGGGGTCAGTAAGATTTTTAATGGAGTCTCTTCTGCTCATCAAGGCCGTATTTATTTGATCAAAAATACAGGAAAAACAGTGATATTGTGAAATATTATTGCAATTTCTAATATTGGTTTCCTATTTTAACATACTTTAAACTGTAATGTATTTCTGTTATGTGCAGCTGTATTTCCAGCATCATTACTCCAGTCTTCAGTGTCACATGATCTTCAGAAATCATTCTAATATGCTGATTTTAATTGACTGATTAAATGTAAGAATTTGACTCAAAAGATGATGCACACTTTTAGAAAAAAATGGCTTTATAAAGGTAACAATGCCCATAAAATGTAAAAATGAATTTAAACTTATTGGAAAAGATTAATTTCTCTCAGTGTGAACTGACCAGCACACAGAACATGAAGAATATAAGCACTTTAGGAGTCAGGGCAGTTCTTAAGATACCAGCACAATAACACACTCCGCACAATATCATCTGATTATCGTGATCGATAAAATCCCAGAAAAGATCGAGATATAATTCTGTCAATACTGCAGACCCCTAGCTGTCCCGGAGTCTTCACTAGTGCTCTGAAGGTGCGTGACAGGCCTGATGCGGTTGCTCAGTGTCTCTCACCGGTGAGGTCGGCGCCCTCGGGGCACAGCAGCAGCTGCAGCGGCTC